CTCTCTCTCTCTCTCTCTCTCTCTCTCTCTCTCACGCTCTCTTCAGAGATAATACAACGAGCAAGAGAGTCGAGACTGGCCGAACGACGAATTAACCGGCACCGTCGACACCGCACTCATGGCTCCAGGTTAAATCAGGGCTGTACGTACTGCTATTTATTTCCGAGTATCGACGACAACGAAACACTGGCACACGACGAATAAGAAAAAAAAAAGAATTCTAGCTACAGACGCATTTCACGTATCGTTTACGAAAAAAAAACCGTCCTCGACCACCCTCTACCGTTATCCTCGACCCAGGAAAATAGTCCACGCAGAAGGTGGTGCACTCGCAAAACGGCAGATCCAGTGGTTCGTGGCTGGCACGACGAATCGATGCGAGGTGGCTCGTCTGCTCGTAGCTCCCTCCAAGCCCCCACTCCTTTATACCTGAACTCTACCTCCCTCTATATATTCGACCATTTCTCACGTATTATCCATTTCTCTAGTTCTCCCTGGGGCTGGCACAGTCTTATTCAGGGTGGCGCACCCTGGTACACACAGACGCGCACACACTATCTCACTGTCTTTTGCTCGACGACCTTCTACACCACTGCTTTCCTGTCCCTTCTCGATTTTCACCTCTCTCTCTCTCTCTCTCTCTCTCTCTCTCTCAGTCGGTCAGTCAGTCACTCAGTCAGCAGGACACCTTCGGATTTTGTGTTACACTCGAGGAAGCGTGACGAACGGCAGAGCTACAGGATTACGGGGTTATAGGTAATAAGCTCTCTAACCAGAATCAGGGGAACACGAGCTCCGGATAACTTAACGAAGAAATATTCGTTTTGGCCAATATCACAATGTACTTGTAGTATGAGCGCGAGAGAGAGGGACTAAAAATGCGCGATATGACGGGTCTCGATTTCACGATGAAAAAAAAACTGATTATCAGCGGTGACGACGGCGGCGGTAGCGTCGGCGTCCCTCGTCACTCTACACAGAGGAGACTCTAGAGTCTAGACCACACCCAGAGAGGAGTCGAGTCGAGTGAACGTTGCCGAGGGTATCCAAGGGGTTGTGGGACGTGAGGAAAGCAATATCGGACTATAGAGAGAGAGAGAAAGGAGAGGTAGAGATGCGAAGGATGATTCGACGCCGGCGCCGCGACGCTCAGGACTCCCTATGGCCGGCACCGAGAGACGCCATTGTCAAACCGTTTGACAGGTTGCTGCCTGTCTTAAGTTATAACCAAGCACTATCTATTTCAATGCTACCGTCCCTTACGTCTGTATACAATATATTTTTTAAATTTTATTTCTTCGTCTCTTCCACGCGGCTACCGTATTTAATTCGCAGACGCATATAAACAGTTATAATACTACAGAACGCGTCTCTGTCCGATGCAGGGTCTCTACCCGTTGCCTGGCACGCTGTTTATCCTACTGTTACTATGTAGATCGGTTTTGGTGGCCACCTTAAGCCGGCAGCAGCAAGGAACGCGATATCGCCCGAGAATATATTATTCTAGAGCGAAATATTAGATTCGAGTTCTACGTCTGCCATGCAGCCACGAGGAATACGCACGGTAGGAAAATGGGTCCGGTGTGCCGGAATATAGACAGACTCGTAGGACGTGGTGCGCGACGCCCTACGAATCCCGAGCAACAGTTGAGCCACCGGGTCAACGGCCATTAACCGGTCTATATATTCACCTCTTTACAACCGTGGCTCCGGATGCCGTGGAGATTTAAAGCTTCGACGAGGTTACCGCCACGACTGGAGAAGCCCTTCCTGTCTATCGTTTCCCGCGGAAGTTAACGATCACCTTTGCGTAGAAAAAAAAAATTTTCCAAGCGAATTTGCACTCTTTTCTTTCTTTCTTGTTCTTCGTTCACTCTTGAAACGTCAATTTCAGACGGCAAATACTACTACGATGGATTATGCTAGGAATATCCAGGTCCTGCGTAAACCAGGTGTTACGTTTGGAGGTTAGGGTTGACAGCTGCCGATTCCTGGTTAAAAATAGCGGATCCAACTTGCGTTTTAAATAAATTACTCGGAGCTGTTTCGTGTAAGAAAGGTCAGGTAAGGTAATAGGATATGATAAAGAGAATATGAGAAAGAGTTATCGTCCGCGGAGTGATCTACTGCTACCTATCCTATAGTTAAATGACAGGTCAAACCTAACCTCAGATTTTCCAGTCGTTTACTGCATCGTGGCCGAGTTAGAAAGACGGTCCTCGGGTCACCGAAACATGAGGCAAGCGCGAGGTATACGAGTGTGCGGCTTTTGGACGGGGAAGGAGGATGGCAGGTGAATGACGTCAGCAGGCTCGATGTGACGTCAGTAGGCAAACCTGAATGCAACGCGACGACGCCGGGCGCCCCGACGCCCGTGCGGTTCGCCTTTGTACCATTTCGTGTTTCTTTTTTCTTATAAATAAAACATCGATGCTTCTACTTGCTTCTCTTTATCATGATTCGGCAGTCGTTTACTTTTTATTCTTTTTCTTGTCCTCAGTCAATTCCCTCTCGTTCATTTTGGTCTTTTCTTCGCTGTCAAAACGCATCCATGTTGAGCTCAAATTTGTACAGTCGTACGTAAATGTTATTTTACCAAAAAATGTATCCTTCAATATCCTAGGTACCTATGTACTTTTGGAAAGTACACTTTTTCGAAGTATCGAAATACCAAGAATTTTTAATTTCACAATTTTGAATCCATGAAAAATCCATTGACGTAGAACTACAAACATATAGAGTAATAGGCCCCTCGTGTCCGACGCCATTGGTATAACTAGAGAGCTGGAGAGATGAGTAAAGAGGGATCTGGATAGAGAGAGAGAGAGAGAGAGAGAGTGTGTGTGTGCGTGTGTATTACCCGATTCAAATACGTTGACCCTTTCCTCGCGGTTAACTGGTGCGCCCTACTAACCGTACTGCGAAAGTGTGTGTGTGCGTGTGTATTACCCGATAGTAATAGGCCCCTCGTGTCCGACGCCATTGGTATAACTAGAGAGCTGGAGAGATGAGTAAAGAGGGATCTGGATAGAGAGAGAGAGAGAGAGAGAGAGTGTGTGTGTGCGTGTGTATTACCCGATTCAAATACGTTGACCCTTTCCTCGCGGTTAACTGGTGCGCCCTACTAACCGTACTGCGAAAACGTCGCCATTATAACAGCCTGGTGTTTCCTGTCTATATTCTTCCAAGAAAGGTGACAGCTGCCATTGGGCATATTCTTTCTCCTTTTTACGCTCTTCTATTTATCCTCCACGTCAAAATTGCCAGTAATACCAACAAAGGTGATTCCCCGTGTTTCTGAACGTTGATTAAATTATGAGAGCTTCCGAAGTATGACATTGGGTCAGACAGATGTACCACGTTACCCCGATCTATGATAAGGCCCAAAGTCATGTTACAAGCGAATACGTCAATTCACGAGTCAGATGCACTTAATTGACACTGGTAACGAGTAGCGTTTGTCTTCGAGAGCTGGCGAAGCCTTTTGTATTCCATAGCAATTAAAGACAATTACGTCAGCTGCTGGATAAATTGACCAGGCCCAGACCAAAGGCAGTGACCACATTTATGTACCTAGAAATATTTATTGAAATTACGTACGTGGCATCATATCTATTTCCAAGCAATGTACGTGCTCTGTTTTTATTTTTTTCAGTGAATAATTTCCACAAGCAAATTGAGTACTCGTTATTATTATCTTTCCATTCCCCCCGAATGGCCGTTTGTTCATTACTGAGTAACTTTTTCAATACAAATTCTGGAAGCGACACGACAGTCAGTTTTTCCGGATGAGTCAGTTCTGGAAACATTCCTAAATATATTTGCTTTCTTTTTTTTTTCTTTCGCCCCTTGCAGTAGCTGTAGTTACTGTTTCTGCATTACGATCTCCAGCAGAAGGAAAAGATAGAATCTAAGTGACGTAAATAGCATTTTTGTTAGAAACAAAAACAAGGTAGACGTTATAACCAGGTTCACCAAGGCTCGTGTACAAATTTTCTTTTATAAAACGGAGTTTAGATTTTTTGTATCTGTCGTACAAGTTCAGTGCAATGGGAAAGAGCTCAAAAAATGAGGCTGACTCGGTAAGAATGTTTTTTAAGCAACAATAAGAGATATATCTTATTGCGATAACGATATACAATAACAATGTGATTTACAATGGATTCGTAATGTGTAAAAGTGGATTTGAAGAATTTAGGTTTGATTTAAAATTCTAAGTCACATGTGAAAAGACTGCAAGTGAACCAATTAGAGGTTTCTCCTTATCTCGTATTAGAGCAACGTCAACTGTTAGTACAGCATATAAAGGAGTTGAACAAATAAATGAGAAAAACAAAAGAAATAGCAAGCACCGACAATAGCAGAAAGAGAATTATCAGTAAAGGCGGTACTTCCCGTGGAATATTTTCATAGTAGCAAACGAGTTAGAATTAACCGCACAGTTTGCAGCTTATTTTTTTTTAAATAGATGTATATACAAACTCATGTACATACGTACGCATTATTGCACACATGTGCACAGCTACATGCGCAAATACACAGGGACGTAAAAAGAAAAGGGGGAACCTCGCCCGAAATGGCCGAATGGCGCGCGAAAGCGAATCTGTAAATTCGGAAACTCGAGTTTGCGCACACACGTATAGATATAAATCAAGTATAGCCATAGGCGTCTTACGTATTATTCGATTAGGACATTTTCGACAAGAAACAAGAATGACGTGAATGATGTATCCGGTCAACGGTACAGTAACTGGTTTTACATTCGTGTATTAAAAATGAAAATGAATCAAAGTTTGTCCGGCATTTATACATATTTGTGCACATATATATATATTGCGAAATTGTTTATACTCTTGGAATGATTATAAAAGTGATTATCCTGGAAATGATGCCGGCTACTCCGTGAGTCAGAGTAAGCGCCGTCATCAGTGACCAAAGGGAGTCCGGCGTTCGCATTCTTACGCACTTCGGGTTATATACGCACTGCCTAGCATACTGGCTGGTTTTTGCAGTGGCTTTAGATGTTCTATAAGCATGGCAGAAGCAGACCTCAAGAATCCGACAGGAAACCAGTGTGGAATTAACGTCACGACGCAGACAGCGTAAATTTCATGAGAGAGTATATGCCACGTGAAGCTAGAAGGCATAGAGAGGAAGAGAAAGAGAAGAAGGATGTAATATTTTAAGAAAGAAAAAGGGAAAATTGAAGGTGGATCAGCAACAGGAAAAGAGGCAGCAAATGCCGGCTACTCGTCGAGGCTCGGCTGCTACGGCGGCTACCGTATAATTTTGACAGAGGCCTATGCCGCCGCCGCCACGGCCGCCATATTTGCCTGACTGTTCTCTAATGTTTCGGTTTTCGCGAAGACAGACTAGTAGATATATTCATTATGCTCTTAAGCTTAGATTCTCTTTTTATCTAATATCGCAGTATTCTCGAGCACTTGTGAGCTTCACGTTTAATCACCACGTACACACACAGGCGTAACATGATGCTGAGTTTGACTCTCTGCGGTGTACGTTTATTACGGACGGTCCTAATTATTACTTAAAAGAGGAAGACAGATACGGTAATAATGAGAAAAAAAGAAAGTAATGCATTCACTCTTGACGTACCTGTTGTGTATATTCAAAAATACTAGGTCGTGACTTCTAGAAATTCACGTTGCTCGAGTCTCGCGCTCCTTCTTCACTGGTCTGAATTTCTTGGCGTTTGTACCTCGTCAATACTATTAATTCGTCAGTTCAGCCGGTCTGCTCTTGGTCTCTGTATTTCCTTCTTCTTTTATGTCTTCTTTATCGTTACTCACGTATTCCCACGTTAAACTGTCGATTAGCACGACCGATAATGGACGATCAATATCGCTTAACGGTCGGTTTAAATTCGAATCTAATTTTTCGGATTCTTTTATTATACTCCTTTCTGTCTCACTCTCACTCTCTCCTTCACTCTCTCTCTCTCTTTCTCTCTCTCTCTCTCTCCCTCTCTATCGTTATTCTTTTTTTTCTTTCTCTTTGGTCTCTTCTCGCCTTTAACTAACTCGACTGACTGTCGCAGTGTATTCTCCGCCACCTATGAGAATATCTTCTCCTCCCTAGTAGCGGACAGCCTGTTTCCCGACTTATTCACATCGAGTCCCGCACTTTTTTATTTCCCCAGACACACAGGAACGCGAACGACGATATTTCGATCCACTCGCACAACCTACCGATGCTCTAATGTTCGCGTTTGACAAATGTTACGTGACGCGTAACAGATCAACGCGAATTTACACCGATACTCGTTTCCTTTTTACTTTGGACTTAACGTCGAATGGCTGAACACGGCACTCTCGATCAACCGATTGTTTTCATGGAGGCTCGGACTGCTCGCAAGCGGAGCTTCTCGGCGATCACGGATGGCGGGCGGCAGGGTGGGGCTCCCTGTCTAGAGCCCCGTGAACCCCGTACCCGTCATACGAAGAGACACGAACTTTCACGACGATGCACGAGAGCGACAGCGCCCCAATCGACCGCTAAATTCAAAGTGGGTTTAGGAAAGATGAATGATGCCGAAAGATATCTGAAAGAATTCTTATTGATTTTTTGCAATAATAATGCTCTTCAGATTATTGTTAATTGTTATTTTGAGATAGAGATACGTGAAAACTGTGTTAACACGTTTCAAAGGGACTTAATTTCACTTTTAATGATTTGTTAGGTAGTTATTAAAGGACTTGTATTGGCATTTTTTTTTAAATTGTTTTACACATTAATAGTTATGTAGGGGTTGGTGTATTTTGATAAAATTGGGGATGCTTTGAAAGTATTGATGTAGCTGAATGGTTACCTGAACTGTTGTACAGCCGTTGGTAAATTCTGTATCCGATACACGAGTGGTACATATGACTCAAATGATATCACCAACTTTTTTACTCCTAATAATGCCCTATAACAAGAAAATATAAGTTTAGGAATATATATTCGATGTATCAAAACTTTCCCCGAAATATGTTGTTGGTAAACTAGTAAAATTTTTGCTACGCGAAAGGCAGTATATTTTGAAATCTTTGAAATTCCGAATGTGCGATCAATATTGTGGAATTCTTTAGAATATTACTAGTTAATTTTACTGTTTACTAATCTGTATTCTTTTCACCGGTTAAGCAATATAGATTTTATAAAATGACAAGAAATATTCAAGCTGCCAACAGGTGTTATCGATCATACCATTTGAGGTACGTAGTTCCGAAATTCGCCGCTTAAGGGGGCAGCACATCCTGGAAATAACATGGGATGTCATCTCAAACAAAACTATACAAGCTTTTGGAACACAAGAAGGTCATGTAGCTCACTCAGTATGTACGATACCGGCAACATTTTCTACATAGACTAATAGAACGTTTCAAAGTGAAAATACAACGAGTGGTTCTGTGATTTTTATGTTAAATTAATATTCTAAAACCTTTCTTTCAACACGTGCAGTGACATCACATCTGTAGATCATACGTTTTTGGCGCTACACGAACATGAGGTAAGTAAAATTCAGTAATTATTGCATATAATGACTGGTCACGCACATCAGACATTCTCAGTTATTAATATACTTTAAATTATATCATAATTGTTTTCCTGAAAGGATAAATACATGACAATCAGCAACCGGATTTTCTTATCTTTTGCATTGAAAAATAGTAGCATACATAAACGTCAGAAGGCGCTGCCAGTTCGCCTTCTGAGTTCCATTCTACCCCGTCAGATGATCCAAGAATTTATGTGTACGCCAGAGAAAACCGCAATGCGCATACCCAAAGGAGAGAAAACATCCTTTCTAATTGTCTACATAGATTTGTGCGATACAGCAGACCCTAAAAGTCCATTGTACCCTAACGGCAGACAAGAGAGCACCATTAAACCAAAGCGAAGCAAAATTTTCAAATTAACCTGGTAAAAAACATCATCTCCTGCTACCTCTATCACCAGATTCGTCCTTCTCATCCGTACTACTTCCAACGTCGATATTTAAAAATAAAAATTCTCGGAATGAGAAAAAACAAAATCAAATAGAAAGTTCCCTTCGAGGTACCAGAAAATGAGGCTACAACAATACACAGTATCCTTTATCAAAGCATATGCCCAATAGAGTTTACTCCTAATAACACGTAACGTTGACCGCGCGTCCTAAGGAGCCTAATAGTGGACGCATGCGTCGCAACGCCCCACGTCGTCTCATCGTAATATCCAACGGGTCGTCGGGACTCCTCGTATTTTCAGTTCAACCCCGACCGAACGGCAAGTCGGCAAATACGCAAATCGGCCCGGAACTCCGCAGTGCACGGTCAGGTTAATTTTGTTTCATTCTCAGTCACGTCAACGTCGGAATGTCAGGAACTTGATGGGACCGTACAGCCCGAGGATAAGAATGTGATAACGTGAAAGAAGAAACGCAAAGACCTAGAAAAGACAGTGACAGGACAGAAGATAAAGAGAGAACGAATTAAATGAAGGATTTGAAACAGTGTAAGAGTGAGACAGATATAGTGAAAAAATCGAAGTAGCCTCCACTAGTAAAATGAGTTCTGTGCTGTTTCATAAAAACTACAAAGGATAGAAAACAGTGACGTAGGACTGATAAGGGTGTGCCGTTAACGCAAAATACGTACTATCTCTAAGCGATGAAGTGTCTTTAACAAAGAGAGGACCAACGCCGCCACGAGAAGCTAAAGGATACAGGACGAAAATCTATAAATACACATAAATCTCAGGAAATAGATCGACGCCGTTTCCGCAAGTCCCCATGCATTTACGTAACAAAGCCAATAAGACAAATTGTATGATTCTTTTTTTGTATTGACAGCGGACAGTGTTCTTCTCGTTGATTAACGAAATTACAATCAGTATATCCAGTGAGCCAGTGTTTTTTCCTATCATCAATTTCGAACTTCAGGAACAGTGCAGTACGTTTTTGTCATAAATCTCACTTATAACATATAATATCGCCAACAAGGAGTATCGTCAAAGATAAGAGTGCGATCGTACAAAATCGACCTAGAAAATGTTGTTTTGTGTTTAAACAACTGGACGCCCAGCCGTTAAGAGAAAATATGCACATGGAATCTAGCGGGACGTCAGATGAATAAGTTAACGAAGCGTCTCATCAAAGAGAGACGTCGGCTTGTAAATGTGTCTCTGTGAATCTTTTAATACGCAAGATCCTCCTCTGTTGGACTAATAATATCGCTTAGCAAAGTTATGTTTACAGCGATAACAGCGACTCCTACGTGTCGTTCCATGATCGTCGTCAGACGATCGGTTATAAATTCGACTGCAACACCACGTGCCTTCGTCAGGATCGGCAGGACGTTCCTGACTCCTCGTAGACGACAAGGTGGGATCATCTCGACGTTTACTAGGCCCAACGTCAACGTTCTCCTTCATTGCATACCTGGCGAACGTCATTACTATACAGGGTAAAATAAAAAATACCCTGTTACTACTGTAACGGTCGAAGATGCTCCGGTCCATCTTGGTGGGAGTCTGCGAGGGTGTTAAGGGCATAACCTACCACTGGCTCTCACGGTCTGGTCATTCACGACTGCCAGGACCTCCTGGTGAATATCAGCTGCTGGAACGGACTTTGGTATTAAACGATAAAGCCCTACGGTCAGCACCGTGATCCTGAGAGATACAAGAGGAATAGTGATAAGAGAAGAGAATAAGGAGCTGGTGAAAGAAGAAGAAAAAGTGAAGAGAGATAAATTATTTAATGAAGCGTGATTGGCGAACGGTCGATCATTCTATTGGAGTATATTTTGACACTCGGTACGATAAATGTTGTCTGATCATTTTTTAAATTCTTTTTTCTCAATATCAAAACTCTCCATGTCATTCGTATCTGTGGGTTATCGCGTGAGATACGGTCTTTTAACTATATTGACGCGAGAAAACTTTCATCCACGAAGAATGCAGTTCGCCAAGGCACATTTTTCATAAACTGGCCAAGGGGACCATTCACGGTGTTCTAAACTCTGTGAAATCGGGTCGATGTACGTTCGGTGTGGTTTCTATGCTGTTGTGTAGTGATACTGTGAGCGCTGGAGAGACAGAGAGGAGAGTAAGATTGATAAGAGAGAATGCTAATATCGTGTTTATAATTTTTATCAAATTTACGTACTCGTAATAATCTCACGTTATATTTATTCTTGTCTTTCGTCTGATTGCTCTGCTACGAAGAGAGCTGAACAAAAAAGTCGATTCCTTTTTTTATTCTCTCCTCTCTTCATTCGTGGCTTTCAATTTGATCCACGAGACCGTTCATATCTACACGTTTTCTATACCGAGAATAGATAAGGGCCAAGCCTAGAAAAGCGATTTCAATTCTTTAGCACGTGGTGTTCGGGGTTGGGATGTAAATAAAGATTAATCCAGTCGAGCGGCCATTTTGAATGTGCGACGAACTTTTTTAATATTGCAACGATACTGCGGAACGCTTCAATTTATATATATACAACGCTAAGCATTGATCACACTTCACTTTGAATTTCGTGGTTTGTCGTCGGACGTTCTTAGGAGTAACGAACAAAAAATCGAAAATTCTTTTTTCCCATTTTCAACATTCTTTATTCATCCAATTCGGTTACATAATCTCACGCGAAACGGTCACGTCCGATCGGCAACGAATTTTTACTTAATTCACCTTTCACACGCGTTCACATACACGCACCTAAATACGTATTCACACACGGCCTACGAATCGCCTAGTTGCTCTACACGCAATATTATGCTCAATAAAAGTGCTGTGCTTTGGCCTCCCATTTAATTATATACACGGTGACGGGAGTGTGTGGTGAAGTGTCAAAAAAAAAAGCAAGAATAAAAAAACCGTGAAAGAAAAAGTGTGAAAGTAACAACAACAAAAAGTCACGTGTTACAGCTGTACATATACATAAGTGAAAAATTCCCCAGGACACTGGGGAATTTTTGAAATGCCTGTTAGACGGGGTCACGTGGCACCCAGGACAACGATCATCGAAACGATCATCAGAAAATTTGACACGCACGGTAAAGTATTATAATTTTGACTTTCATTTTATTTTTTTTTTTTTTACAAAATTATCCAAACCATATTTCACCCTCTAATCATCGATAAGAAAAGGTCGAGTCGCTTCGTCCTTTCTCGACCTACCATTTTCAAAAAAAATTTTAAACGGTCCAAGGTAGCCGAATAAGGAATGTGGAGCATCAGGCATTCAGCCAAGGCTCCATTTTCAATATTATTTAAAGAAACCCGAGTTCTGGTCCAGTCGCGTTACAAGGGATGCATATAGGGCTGTGCACGAAGACACAGATAGCGCCTATGTTCGGGGGTTGGTATAGTTAAATGTAGAAAGATAGGCCGTTTCTTTCCTGACAATAGGACAATGCACGTCACGAGCAATATCATTCTAAAAATGCCCCGAGTCCTCCACCCGCCAGGGGATGAATATCGTACTGGTAGATAGTAGGGGTTGGATTGATTGCAAAAAAAAACGAAGACGAAGTAAAACCCGTACGAAGTGATATAGCCACCCTTAATTCCACCCTTACCCCATATCCACCCCTAAATTCAGTCCACTCTAAAATCCGTTTTCCACTTGCACCCCTCTCCAGTATTGTCAGAACTTACCCAGTGACGTCATCCCTTCCGTTGCGGTACACCCCCTCCTACCTCTGCACTCCCACCACCCCCTTTCGACGATTAGCCCTCACCCATTTCCTACCCTCAAAAAGCGCATCCCCCAGATGCACCGCATAAAGGATCTCTCGAAATATATGCATGCACCCTTGCAATGAGTATAGATTTTGCATACGCGACTTCCACTAAGGGATGAAAAAATTCAATTGTTACCCCAGCGAGTGGATCTCGAAAGTCCAAATGAGAAAAAAAAATGAAGCAGACTTCCAAAAGCTTAGCCAAATGATGCACAGATTTTTTTATCTTACCACACATGTGGACGCAATACATGTCACACGTGTATCCAGTAACATTCAATATCGTCCCCTCTGTGTCTACCAGGAAATACCTGTGTACGAAATAGAGTATCTTGTCCACAAATTCTGGCTGCCGCCAATGTCGGTCCTTGTCTAACGCGTGTAATTGCCAATAAGACCCTCTCTCTCGCACTCATAGGCGGTATAGGAAATTCCAAAAATCCCAAGGTACCTACCTTCTCTATGTCGATCCGCGTGGTCATTATGATATTCATAGTATCTCAAAGGACTAACGCTATTAGTGTTTTACCCTAAAGGGTACAAAGTTATACAACCCCAAAATAAATAACGCTAATAGCATAAATTTCAATGTAAACTATTCCCCCCGCAACCCTCATCCCATCGAACCTCTAATAGGCATTAACACGATAGAATCTTGTGAAACCATACTGGTCTGTCAATTTATTATATAATAAAAAAATAGGTATGCCGTACACGACACGACGTGGCTTTTACGTTGGCGTCGCCCTGTGTCAGTCCTTGGCTTCTAATCTGACGTTTCTAAGCGTCGACCAGCTATTCGAGCATTCCGTTTCCTTGAGCTCTAATCAATTCCGACGCTGGCGCGTCAATTGTCTGTAACCTACGTGCAGGCCTATTTTTTTTTGGAATTTATGTGTTTTTTTTATCGCCATGTCATTAAGCCTTGAAATCCATGCCGATGACTTTGACCGCGTTACGGAAGCGACCCGTCAGTTTTTAAGCGTCAAAGCAAAGCGACGCCTGGCGTCGGCATATTCATTGACCAACATCACGATTATCCGTCATTCATGTGGTAATTATTATTATATTATTTTATTTTGGTCGCAATTTAAAAAAAATTTTTTTTTATGTACAACGTAATATTTTTTTAAATTAGTTTTTAATGACGATTACATTACTGTGCGTGGATATAGGGATTTTTATTGATTTATGATGTATCTATATATATCGGAATTCTTTGTAATTTGCACACAAAACGGTATTCGCATGCACGCGTGCATTAGATGGACGGTCGGAGGGGAGAGGGACAGAGGAAGGGGTAAACCAATGCCCGAGTTCGAGCTGTGATAAATTTACGCGAAACTCTGGACGCCTGCCAGTCGGATATTTAAAATTCTCGGCCCGGTTTTTAAAAGGCATGCGGTAGGAACGCTGCGGCCTTGGGATTCGATATTATCGGATAATTGCGAATTCTTATCGGCAGTGAATTTCGTTGGACTAAAGTGTGGGTGAAATTGATGAAATTGTAGCGATAAAAAAAAATGATTTTTCGAAAAAGTTTATTTCCCGCTACGTTGTTACGACCTCGGGACGCTCTCGTAAAGATCTTATTTATTTTGACTCGTGCGTAAACGACGTCGGGATGCCAATCGTTAACGATGCTTATTACGTTTTCGTTTGAAAATGAAATTCGACTGTTTTTTTTTTATTTTTCTTAAAGACCGTCTATGTCAATTTTTTCTTTGCGTCTCATTGATTTTTTTCAAAATGAACGGAAGGGTGGAAAAATAACGGCAGTTAAAATTTGTGTATCCAGATTGGACATGGTTATTTTTATAATTTTCGTGATTTAAAAAATTTGTTTCCATTCAATCGTTAAATTTTTGCTAATCCGTTGTCATTTTTCGACAATTATCATTATTGTTTAGTTTTTATTTCTCGCAGAAAAAAGCACCCTTGTCAATTATACTGTTTTGACGTCTCTGACGTTAGTCCGTTGCTTTTGAAGGAGCCTGTAGGTACGCATTATTTCTTTTGGCAGATGACAAGCAAGACAGACGAGTACCGTATGCACATTTATTTTCCCACGGATTCATTTGTTTTTCGCTCTCTATGCGCCTTCGCGATTCTTTGTAGTTTGCACACAAAACGATATTGTTGTTGTACCACGTATTCCGTAATACGTTTCTGTTCCAACAATTCCGCTGTCTAATAAAGGAGTCACGGTCCCAGAAGTCAATCTATTTCTATGCGCCGAGGAAGAGAAAATAAAAAAATAATAGATAAATAAAAAAAAAGGTTTATCGATACATTTCATACGAGTGATACGAAAATAAACGTAACACGTGTTCCTACTTTACCGACTGGCACGCGCATTGGCCTAGAACTTCGTGGTCCCGGCATAATCCTAATCACCCTAAATAAGCGCTTAGATGATTTCCAAGCTAGAATAGCTGCGGTCTTATTTTGTTTTCACCCTCTTTCTCTATTTTCACCTATCTCTCTCTCTCCCTCTCGCATATTATAAATCCTACCGTAAAGCCGAGTGACATCGTTGGCAAAGGGCCCACAGATACGTGTGCCGAGACCCAACGTTCCTGGAGTGCGAAGTGAACGCGAAGCGTCGCGACGCGAAACCTATTTCTAGCCTGCGCGCGACGTCCGGGACGAATTCTCGAAAGCATTATAAGGGTCCTCGAGTATGCCGGGTGGGTGGAGAAATTTTTGAGTCTAGCCCACGGAGAGTACCAGGCGCGACATTTGCTTCCGCTTTGAGGCCAAGTAATGGCCATACGAGAGGGTCTGCTTTGATCGGCTTTCATGAGGGCGACAGAATTACAACGATCAGAGCCCGTGTCCATGTAAACGATAAAATTACGTCAATCGGTATTAAAAGGAGTAAAAGGATGGGTGTAAAAGAAAAAATTAATATCCATCTGCTCTTCAAATTCCACATTACTCTCGTCCCATCCTTCTTTGAACTCGTTCACGTCGCTCTCATGGGGATGCTTAATAAAGCCCTGGCGCGTCTTGGGAATGCCATAATCCACGTGAGGAATCTGAGAGAGCCTCGAGACTCCCTGGTATGCGGACTTTGATAATCACCTGGGTCTTATCTGCTTCCCGTCTTCCTTCCGCTAGAGAATAAATTTTATACGGTTAAAAAAAGATCATCCCCTATCAAATGGTACTCGCAGCATCCAATGACTCATCCGATGATCTCTCGTCCCCAGATCGAAGCTTCTTGGTAGCCAACGCTCAGCAAGGACTATGCCACATAATATATTGCTCGGACGGGTTTTGCCGTCTGACCGGATTCTCCAGAGCGGAAGTGATGCAGAGGCCGGCAGTCTGCGAGTTCCTTCACGGACCCATGACCTCGCCCCATGCGATAGCGGCCCTGCGCGACGCCCTCAGCGCAGGCGTCGAGAAGCACTTCGAGATCCTGTATTACAGGAAGGATGGTGAGTGTGTATAATTTTTAACCCTTGAAAACAAATAATAATGCACCCCCCCCCCCCTTAATCATCCCCAGGGTCAGTCTTACCGTACGTGAACAGGAACTGCAATACTCGCTGGATATGCCCAGTACCGTAATACCAACTGTACCCCAGGCTAAGCGAGGCTGGTGAAAATTGAATTTCTCAAGAATGGGGTAGTAAGCGAAGGGTTGCGTTATTTCGGCCGTTTCTACCGTAGTGTCTGACCTTAGGCGTCGTAAGATCAATAGTCACCACTGTATAATTTATCGCAGTCATAGCCGGTGGGGCCCCTCGATTCTGCTGGCTCAACCTCGTTGGGACGACCTCGCTGTTGTGCACGACCCTTAACAGCCAACCCCCTCGTCTCCTATCGTGCACTGCAGCTCCGTGCTTCGTTTGAGGTCGTCTATGTCGTGACGGACGGACGGACGGGGGGGGGGG